CTTGAATGACAACACACCACATGAATCTATACAAAAACTGTATATTTAAAAATTGTATATACATTTATTACAAAAAAGAAAACATAATAAAGGAAACAACAACAAAAAAATACCACCCTTAAAACCATATAAGAATCTTTATTGAAGTATTCAGAAATCTTCTCTTCTGGATGGTCAGTTGGCACACAAATCAGTATATACTACATGTCCTCTCGAGAAAAGAAGGACTAGGAAGTATTTTATGTTATTCTTTATCCTATTGCACTACAAATGCCTCTTAAATGCTTCAAATCATTTAACATTTTTACAAATAATTATTAGATGTTCTCATTAGCTCCAGGGATTTGTTTGATGTATGAAGCATTTATGGGTGTTGACAAAGTGTTGGAACTAAGGGGTCTATTCACAAAGCTGCCGAAGGCAGCCGAGTGAATGACCGATCAGAAGTGAAGTGAGCCGAACACTGTTCGGCTATTCACAATTTGCATCTTCAGTTACCTTTATCTCTTCATCTACTAATTTTGTTTACATCTGATTTGGGGCTTTCTTTTTGCCGATTACCTGTCTTTTCTCTCCCTGCGCTTTGGGCGTTCTCATCACAGGCCCATGCCAGTGTACTCGCTGCTTTGTTTACATTCAGCTCCACTGTGTCTGCATGATAAACCCTAAGCACAACAAGAAAGGCTACTGCTCTACAAACCTTTAATGTCCTCATTGCACAGGAGCCATAAATTGTCCTATCTATACTTCACTTATGTCAAGCTCTTGCATGAGTTTAGCTAAACCCTACATATTCCCCATCCTATATTATTCCAGGCAGTCAAATATGGAAATCAAAATGCAGACCTAAAGGGATCTCTGATGGCTTCCTTGTTGTCATTCCTGGTCAAGAGAGATGTGCTTACCTCAGTGTATCTGAACGTATACTGCTGGCTGCCTCCTTATAACAGTTAGAGATCTGTTTCTTAAAGAAGAACTTTGGGAATTTGAAAAAATGTACCCTTCACTGCATGGGTTAACTTCCCTTTTTGTCTAGAGGAGACAAATAAGGCTGATATACTCACCTGATCCTCGACCTTGCAGCAGTCGGCACTCACCTCTCTCCAGCTGTGGAATGTTTATTGGTGTTCTCATGTCTAATGTAAGTCAATGGACCTGCATTAGATGTGATGGTGTCAGCAGTCCTTAGACCACCAGAGCCCAGGGAGAAGAGGTTGTAGGGACTGCTCTAGCAGTCTTATGGGAACGAGGCTCAGATAAGTATATCTGCTTTATTTGACCCCCTAGACAAAACAAACAAGGGTAATTGCAAGGGTAATTTTTTTTAAAAAAATCTGAAGTTCTTCTTGAAGGGATTACATGAGTAAAGCACAGATATAATTAATTTAGGCCCTTCAACGTGACTCACTGAATAAGATACATAATATTCTGATTAGGGACTTTCTTTACCTTTCTTATTTAATTGACCTGCTAGTTGAAAAAACACTTTTTAAGAGCTCATTAATACAAGCTAGGGAGTTTTTTTTATAATTCATTTATTAACTCCTTGAATTGAAGACATTAGGATTTTAGCCTACTTTAGAAGAAGAAAGTTAATTTAGTTCTGTGAACGGTTTCCATCCAATCATGTGCTAAACAATTCCCTTGTACATAATTTGATGTTTGAAATATACCCATATTCACTGAGCTAAGTGAATATTCCAATCTTTTAGTAAATCAACCCAAGTCATCAAAAATGTATATGAAGCTCTAAATTGCTTGGTATACTTATGGTTTAAAAAGCCTAATGTGCTTTAAATGTACAGCTTTTTTTTTAAATAAAAAAAAGAAGCATAGCAGAGATACAACCGAATTCCATGGGTTGGAAAACTTCAGATAGTTTACAAAATTCATTATTGGTCCTGTTAAAACTCAACTAATTTTATGCTGGACGTGTTCTCTATAATGTGCAAGTAAAAAGTGGGCATTTGTTTCAGCCTCGGGACGCCCCTGATCTGTGGTCTCCTAATTCCTAATAAGAGTTTGATAGAGATTGGCCTGCAGCAGGAAATTGTTGCATCAGTGAGAACAGGGAGAGTCTCAGTGAACTAGTAGCCAATTTATATCTGAAGTGTGCCTATTACCACTTGATAAAAAAAAATGTGTCGCTGCTAAAACTACCTGAATTTTTTTAGTGAAATGAATCACACTTGGCTGCTGCTGCTGTATATAAGCCAAGCTAATTGTAAAAGTAAAAAATACATTTTACAGCAAAATTTGTGGTGCCAGTATACAGGGTTATTTACAAAAGGGTGAAGAGATTGGAGAATGCAGGAGAAGTGAACAATCTAGAACAACAAAGCTGAACTGAAAAGTGGGCTGAATTGGAGAATTTTTCCAAATCAGATATTTTGGCCTAGATTGTTCACTTCTCCTGCCTTCTCCAAACTCTTCACCCTTTTGTAAATAACCCTGTGGGTCTAAGATTGTCCATGAAAATAGCACTGTTCCGTAACACCACATATAGCTTTAGGGCAACCCCAAGCATAGTATTTAAGCACAGGCGGGCCTACCGGCGGTGCAGCCGCCCCAGAGCCCAAGGTTTGAGGGGCCCATTGATAGGGGGCGGGGAGGTAATTGCCCCCAGGACTCTTTTTTTCCCTGCAGGCTGGGCCATATGGCAGGCCGGGCAGCAGGGAGGCTGCCAGTGTGTTCAGCTGCTGCTGTCCTCCCACTGCGAGGGCCCATATATCGCCTACAATGTATATGCCCTGAATACAATGCAGGCGGTATAGAGGACACACCACCGGATCACTTCCCTCGTGATGCGGGCACTGTGTCACATGCCCTGGCCCCTTCAGACCATGTGGCCGTGTACAGGGATGGTGTCAGGCTCTGACAAGCACTACAATTAAACATTCACAGTCCAGCGTGCCAGTAGGTCCTGAGTCCAGTGCGTTATTAAGTCCTGAGCCCAGTGTGTTACTAAGTCCAGAGTCCAGTGCGTTACTAAGTCCAGAGTCCAGTGCATTACAAAGTCCAGAGTCCAGTGCCTTACCAAGTCCTGTGACCAATTCATATACTCTTCTGCATTGCTGTAGAATGTATTACTGGGATTTGTAGTCCCTCTACAGCTGGTGCCATTCTGCATTAGAGTGTAAGCTCCTTTGTACAGAGGCTGATGTGACTAACTCAGTGTTCTCTGTACAACACTGTTGTATATGTCAGAACTACTGTATATAAATGTATAAAAATAATAGTGTGTGACTTTGGCGGGACATTAGAGTGTAAGCTCCTTTGGTGCAGAGACCGCCTGGGGTGTCAGTGAGATCCGCTTCCGCCCCCCCAGGAGCGGGAAGGGGGGGGGGGGCCCGAGAAAAAAGCTTGAACCAGGGCCCTTTATTTCTTAGGTCCGCCACTGTATTTAAGGGATTCTTTTTCAATGTTGCCCTTGAAGCAACATGAAAAGATACTCTCCCAGCTGTACGGTATATATATATATATACACTATATTACCAAAAGTATTGGGACACCTGCCTTTACACGCACATGAACTTTAATGGCATCCCAATCTTAGTCCGTAGGGTTCAATATTGAGTTGGCCCACCCTTTGCTGCTATAACAGCTTCAACTCTTCTGGCAAGGCTGTAAAACAACCCCACACCACAATCCCCCCTCCACCAAACTTTACACTTGGCACAATGCAGTCAGGCAAGTACCATTCTCCTGGCAACCAGACACTTCCATCACATTGCCAGACAGAGAAGCGTGATTCGTCACTCCAGAGAACACATCTCCACTTCTCTAGAGTCCAGTGGCGGCATGCTTTACACCGCTGCATCCAACGCTTTGCATTGCACTTGGTGATGTAAGGCTCGGATGCAGCTGCTCGGACATGGAAACCCATTCCATGAAGCTCTCTACGCACTGTTGTTGTGCCAATCTGAAGGCCACACGAAGTTCGGAGGTCTGTAGCTATTGACTCTGCAGACAGTTGGGGACTTCTGTGCACTGTGCACTTCAGCATGCGCTGACCCAACTCTGTTATTTTACGTGGCCTGCCACTTTGTGGCTGAGTTGCTGTTGTTCCCAGTTGCTTCCACTTTGTTATAATACCACTAAAAGTTGACCGCCGAATATTTAGCAGCAAGGAATTTCACGGAACACCTGACTCCAATGATTTTGAGGGGTGTCCCAATACTTTTGGTAATATAGTATATATATCTAGATATAATTATATATTATTTTTTTTTGCATTGGTACCTGTCCCCCATGGCAGTGTCCAGCTCCCTATGCCTTTTTTTTGTAGTTTGCCTATTAGAACTAAAAATAGCCAAAATCGACAGGATTTTCTCCCCATAGACTTTATTGGGATTTGCCGCTATGTTTGGGTTCCTGAATTTCAAACATAATTTGCTAAATCAAACCTGGGCAGATTCACCCATCCCTAGTGTAAGACTACATGCAAAGACAAACCAGACATAACAATCTCCTGGGATAGAGCTAGACGTCTCAGTACCCACTCAAGCATTACATGGGGCTATTAATTTAGGGATGGGATTAGGCTATTTCATTCCACCCTCTGCATGCCCACATGTTCCCAGCAGAAGTTGCACTCTCTACATCTTCTGAAGGTACCATCTAGGTACTATAGGACTGATGTACACAAGTGTATCTTTTTATGGTAAAAGTAATAGAAATATGCATCTATTAAAAAAAATATATACATTGATGTAGGCTGTGCAACATTATTGTATTGGGAGCAATAAATATGTAATTATAAGACCAGTGATACATATTTGAAGTTACATATATTTTATTAAGTATGCAATATAATGTATTATTTTTCCATTTTATTATGGTATTTATTTACAGATTTTAAATACCCCTCTCTAGTGGTCATGTGTATATCAATAAGTGTGATGTGAAAATCAAATAATTGTAACACACTTTATTATATTTTATTTTGCAGCCCTTCATATTACATTGTAGTGCCTAGTAATCCTAACTATGGCGCTAATACAACACTTGCTGTGCACTGGTTTGGGGACTCTGACCTCACTTTGACTGCCGAAATAAGAGATAATATCAGCCTTTTAACAAATGTGACCAAAGTAATTAAAAAAGGTAAATATGTATAAACATAAAAGGTGCTTTTTTTCTTTTTCATTTTCTTTTTTTATTATTTAATATTAGTATGCAGCAACAATTATGTAAGTCATTATTAAAATTGCTCAGTAAAACTTGTTATTTTGAGCAGGTATATTCAATACGTAATTGCTTGGGTTCGCCATAAACAGAGCCAACCCCATCCCCCAATTCAGGTGAGCCATTTATTACTGCCGTAGGAAACAGTAATAACAGATTGTGACTCCCACAAATGCTTTTTTTTTTTTGCTCTCATGCTTATTTATAAATGTTCTGCCCAGCTGTGCCGTTTACATGGCACTAGCGCCCCTAGATGGTGCTCAGGAGTATAGGAATTCTTATACTCATCAGCGCCATCTAGGGGTGCTAGTGCTGTGTGCGAACTGCATCCACCCGGCATATACCTTTTATAAATGAACCCCTAAGTAAAGTTAATAGATTTAAGAAAATCTAAAGCTAGTTGGATAGAATAGGAAAGGGTTAGAATCCAATGGTAAGTTCCTATTTTGATGCCTGTGTCCCCACCATAGAGATTCCCTCTCTCTAAATGTCCTGGTGACGATTGTCTTTGGAACAGAAAGGGGGGGGTAAATACAAAATGTTACTGTTATCGCCAGAACAGGAGCAGAGGAGAAATCTTCCAAAGGGGACACCTGTTCTGGTGACAAATCTCTCAGAGAGGGGATTTTCACTTACATTAGAACAGCAATGGTGAGGCCTCTCTGGTGGCACACGAGCGTAGGCCATCCCCCGCGGGGCCACCCCCCGCTGGCTGCCTCACCCCCTCCAGCTGCCTCTCTCCTTACACTGGTTTTCAGGGTCCCCCGCTCTTCTGGCAAAGTAGTTCAGGATGGAGAGTGGGGAGCTTCTCCACTCTGCTCCATGTTAACAGTGAGCCAGGAATGCTCTACTTGCAGCCTTCCTTTCTCAGCTGTTACAGGAGATCCAGCACAGTTTTGTGCTACTCCTGTATTGGAGGAGACAGGTTTAATAAAAAGAACCTGTCACCTCCGAATGCTATCATACAGGGGCTTGTTATCCCCTGTGTGATAGCAATAAAGGTAAGAGAAAAAAAGTAAAAAATTATAAATTAAATAAAAATTAAAACAATAAGTAAAAATTAAAAAGAAATAATAATAAAAAAAAAAGTTATAAAAAAGTAAAAAAATTAAATCCATAAAAATGATAAAAAACAAAGTAAAAGATAATAAGATAAATAAAAAAAACTTAAAAAAAATGAAACGCCAAGCCAAAATCAAAAACCATCGCCATTAACCATCACTGCTTTAGAAGGATTCCCTACAACTACATGTTGTGTCTCTGGGACAGAGTGTTCCATGAAGAAATCTCCCCAATATTTTACAGATAGGAATTTTTAAAAAAACTGATAGGGGTTTAACACTTGCCTACTTCACCAGAATTAAAAATAAGTTTTGGCTTTATATAAACTTACACCACCTTAGTATCATTCTTTGCAGCAATGAACAATCATGCAATACTAATTGTTTACAACTCATGTACAAATCTGTTCTGCTTCTGTTTTTCAGATTCCATTGAAATTGTCACTTTCCCAGGGGTAAGTTCTTTACCAGACTTAATAAGCACAAGCACCTAGTGCCGTTATTTGACTGAAGGGAATATTAGACGCTGTGTTAAGGTCCTAGCTGGTGCTACAGTGCCTGTATAAAGTGTGTTAAAATAGCCGCTACTAGTTCACTATCTGAAGCACATGTACCAGGGTGGCAATGAAGGAGCACAATTCTGAGATGGGGACAGGGTATTGACACACTATACCAGAAAGGTGCCAAACAAAGACCTTCATGGCAGAGTCACCAGCTATTATTTCAATAAAATATTTAATAAAATGATTTTTCTTTATTCGTTTAACATGTTAAGTTTTATATGAGATTTTAGGGATTTGGTTTAAATATGATTTTCTTTCTTTTAGTGCAGAGTGTGTAAATACATGTGCACATTCATACCTGCTCTTTACATTAGTAGGCTTTGTATGTACCAAGGCTTTTATGAAGAGGAGGCTGATTTAGGCCCCTTTCAGATGGGTGGTTCAATTAGGTCTGCCTGTCAGTTTTTCAGGCAGACCTGATTGGATGCCCAGTGTATGTCTATGGGCGGGTGTCTGGTTACATCCGGTAGCACCTGGCTTTGGCAAGGTGCGGAAAAACAAATGGAACAGCATTCTGTTTCATCGGACCTGATTGTGCTGGATTGAGGGTAATCTAATGTAAACGGACATATGACTGCTTACATCCGATTCCCCATAAACAACATGGGGTCCAATCATTTCAGTTGTGATGGGGGGAAAAACTGAATGGAGATGGATGTCACAATGGTGATATCCACTCTGTATCACTCCAATCAGGAAGGGATCCCCTCCTAACCGGACAGTGTGAAAGGGACCTTATAACAACTGCAAAAAAAAGATCAATTTTTGCAAGAAATTACCGATTCAATTAAAACGTTTCCTGCTGACAAAGCTACAAAGTAGCAGCTAATATATGACAGGTTGTCATGTGCAATGGTGTTGTGTTTCCTGTGCTACAGCTATAAAAGTACAATGAATGAGTCTATATATGAATATTTTCCCTAAAACTTTGGAATGGAATCGATTTGGAAATGTGCAAATCTTGGGTGGGTGGTGAGAAAACATTTGCAAACAGACCCCTAATAAGGGGCTCAATCTATCCAAATTGGAGATTTCAGTTACAACTGGAATCTGACGGGATCAATCTCCTGCTATTTAATGGTATTTCTAGAGGATTTCTAGAGGATCCAGTGGAATTACCAGTTCCCCTGTCATAGATACATGAACCTTAAAGTGTTCTCTTCCTGCATTCATAATGGTATAAAGTACACTGAAAATTCAGCAGGGAGAATTGTACACCCTCATAAGGGGCACTGCAGTTGTGCAGAAGTACAAACTAGAAGTACAAACCCTTGAGAAATTAGAAAGTTATGGTGATTTAAGTCTCCTCTATGTAACAAAAGTTGAAATATCAATTTTGACAAGACTCCTTAATGGGAGACTGGATAATCAATAGATCTAAAATGCGATCAAAACACTTTAAGATTCTTCATCAAGTATTTTGGCCTACCATGTTTTAAGAGCTTGTGCCTCAAGTCTATTGACTGAGCCAAGGAAATTATATTATTTCATATCAAACCTTCCCACTTTAATCTGAAATTGATCCTTCCTTTACTCTTTCTATGTAGTACCATAAACAGGTCACCAAATATTACAGGTTGTAGAGCAGGTAAAGTCGAAGATGAAGGAGGTAACAAAAGGGTGTCATGCAGAGGCGGCAGCACAGTGACTAAATGGTTAGCACTCTTGTCTCACAGCCCCAGTTCTGGGTTTGAATCCTTTAAGGGGACCTAAATGGAGTTTGTGGGCTGTTTCAATGTTTGTGCAGATTTCCTCTAAGAGCTCTGCCTTCCTCCTAGTAACAGACCAGTTTTAATTGTCATTTTCCCAATTGGACTGTGTGTGTCTAAATACTAATGGAGCATTAGATTTTGAGCAAATGTAATCTAGTTGCCACCAGGTAAGAAGATAAATCCAGGACAAATAATGCAGTGTCTGTTCTTATGTTCTGTCAATTAACAGATTTTGCCAGCAATGAAAACGTTCTTTTTTTTTTTTTACAGATAGCAAAAATCACCAGTTTTAATGTATTTCAACTGTATGTCAGTGGATCTTCTCAGAATACATCAGTTTTCTCAGAAACATTGAATCTACCAATGCAAACAAGAAAATACATATTTATCCAAACTGACAAATTCATGTACAAGCCTGAAGAGACTGTCAAGATCCGAATAATTACAGTAAATTATGACCTAAAACCAAGTACACAAAATGTGGACCTAATTATAAGGGTGGGTATTACTTGTTTACACAATTTTTGATCAGTACACTTTTATTATCATTAATTACAGCTACAATAGTATATCGGGTTCATTTATGAATGTATTTGCATTCCTTATTTGTAGAGGTGCACCGAAATGGAAATTTTAAAACCGAAATAAAAAAAATTTCAGGCCGAAACCGATACTGAAAATGTTTTATATTTTAATTTTTTCACATATTTTATTTTTTAGAAATGTTTTAATTTTCATTTTATATATTAATTCATTTTTTTATGAAATATTTTTATTTTTTACTTTACTTTTAGGGGCTTCAGGGAAATATTAGGGATCTAGACAGACCCCTGATATTTCCCTTTTAAAATAGAAAAAGAGATTGAGGACACAAATCCTCAATCTCTTTTTCTGTATCCCCTGTTACAAATGAACAGGAATCCTCTATACTGAGTGTTCCTGTTCATTTGTAACATGAGAACAGAGTATGTTTACTATAACTACAACTATGAATGAACAGGAGGTGATGTAGATCACTCCCATTCATTCATAATTGAGGATATAGTAAACATATCATGTCCTCAATTTTTTACAAACACTAATTTTTCATTGTATGAAAATAAATGACATTTTGCTGGATAAATAAGCTATGCAAATATTTTTTTATTAAATAGACCGCTATTTGTTTTTGTGCACACTTTAATTTTTGTATATGTTCCCCTGCCCCATAAGCGAGATTTTCCATTACTTCCCTTTAGGTCATGAGACAAAAACATGTGTACATATTACCAGTGGGACACTGATCTGTGTAACAATCTAAAAGAAGTAGGTTATCTTTAAAAAGATTTTCAACTTCTATGATCTATTGCATTGCAAATTGTAATGTAATTAAGACTGCTGTATATCACCTTTGAAATGTATAAAAATTGTATACACCATTATCCTATCAACTAAGTAATCACAAGCAGTATGTTGACTGCTTATTTCTTGTCCTAAGGCAAAAATCCTCAAAACATAATTACTATTCCAAATTGTTGACTGGTCCAAACTGTCTTTTTTTTTTGGTCATTATAGGATCCTAGGTATAATATTGTCCAGCAGCATCTAAACATGACCTCGGACTTGGGAGTCATTTCAACTCAGTTTCAGCTGTCTAGCAGCCCTATGTTGGGTCAATGGAATATACAAGCTAAAATAGATGTAAGTATTTAATCAAACACTACACCATACTTTGACAAACCTTTGCCAAAAATAAGTTAAGTATCTAAGTTGATATTTAATAGAAGGTAACTGTGTATGAGCAGTCTGATATAGCGTTCTGGCACTATAAGTATAATTCTGTTTGTCAGTATTTTGTCAGTGAGGGTCCAGATTTGTAGACATTTTGTTTTGTAGGATCGCTTAGCATACTTGGACGTGAGGTACACACAGCCTTTACAGAGATAATAGATCATGCTGAGGATACAAATGTCAGTACTCACTAACATTTATTTTGCATCTCAGTTTACTTAAGACACATTTAAGGGGGACCTTGACACATAACGTAACATCATGGTGTTGGATTAGGGTGACTGAGTTTCCCATGTGGCTGTAAATGCTTGTGGCACTTCTTAGAACTGAGGAAACTGCTTGAATAAGCAATGAAATGTCTTCAGCATTATACAAGTCCAGTTGAATTTGACTACTACTAGCTAAGTGTGGCCACAGGAAGTCTAATATCTCCCCCAATCTGATGCCAATATGATGCTTGGGTGAAGATGTGTACATTTAGGGTTACCTTGGGCAGTGATAATGAATGCTTCCAAATGTCAGACTTGTTTGTTATCACAAAAATGTCTGTGACCCGGCTAATCCTCCCATCTTCTCAGAGGGAAGAGAAAATCAAGATGTTAACTGTAGGTGCAATGCTTCAGTCCATTAAATGAGTTGCAAGGCAGACCTCAGTGTGATAGAGAACCAACAGGTGTCTCCTTATCTGTCTATGGAAAAATTAAAGGCACTGGAGAATTATTTTTTTAATCAGAAGCCACAAGAATGTATTTGAGCTAAATGGCTTGGGTTTGGCACCTCTCTGCAAACTGGGGCCCCCCCAAGAAATAGGGGTCACCCAGTTTTAGAAAGCCACATTAAGTTTTATGAGAGAGTCAATGAACGATAGAAATCACCAGCACTCCGTAAATGAAATTCCAAAAAAGTCCATTTATTTGGACTAAACGTCACACATATCGCATTTATGAGAGAGAGCGCCAAACAAATAATACAAAGTTACCCAATGTGTTTTGAAGGTCAGAAACTACCCCTTCATCAGGGCTTTAACAATGTATCAAGGTGTCTAATGGAAGCAAAGCTTCTTGGCAAATACATCTTAGACAGGATATTATCCAGTGAGTGTTTGTTGTCCAGGCAATAGTAGCAGTGCAGTGTAAGAACTGGTACCATGATATATTTTTAACAGTTTCCTATGGTCATTTTATCTTGAAAGGGGCCTTATCTTTGTTTACAGCACTTCAAAACATTTTCTTAGAGTATCTTATCTCCTAAAATTCATAATCCAGCTAACCTGCATGAAGAATGTGATAATTGGGGACAGGACCGGTAGTGCACCTTTAGTACACCTCTAGTGTGTAATGAAAGGAGTCATAAAAAGATATAATACACAAATCCCCTGACCAGCAATGTTAATAGTGTTTAAATTAGGCTGCATTGTAGGCCACTTTGCCACTAATATACAGTAGGTCCCATTAAAACTTTGCTAAGAGCCCCTATGATTTTGAGTTTCATCCATGAACAAAGGCAGACATACTTGAAGCCCTGCCTGTGTGAGAACAGTGGTTGTCCCCATTGGCACAGTGGAGAAAAGTGTAGACATGAGGGGACAGAAGGGACAATACGTGTGTTAGTGTTAGGATCACCAGGTAAAAACAAAGAGAATAAAGCCTGAAAAAAAGAAAAATTAATGCAACCACCACATCTAAGGACTAGAAAACCCAGGGCCTTCTTTATAATGAGACAGCGTGATTTGGGTGTCTCAGGCGGCATCTCATTGGGGGGCGGCTGGGTGGTGGTTGGGCAGAAGGGGGGCAGCCACAGCATCCCAGGTTGCTAATAGCTCTTAGCAACCTGTGACACGTTGCTTGGCATCCCGTCCAGCCCCTGCTCGCTGATGTCACCGGTTGCCTAGAGCTGGGTGGGGGGCCAGACAGAGCCGCCCAAACAAAATTGCCTCAGGCGGCAAATGGCCCTGAGTAAGCTGCAACATATTACAGTTTTGTTTTTGGGGTTAGGTACACTATAATCATGTGCTGCTACTGGGTATCTGCACACACAGCATAAATCACATGACCTGTACTGTCAGTGTATAGTATTTTGTGATGTACTGTATATTCTAATGCTTCCTGCTGGAAAGAATAAAGAAAGTACTCTTATTACATGAAAACCAACTACCTGCCAACCTCCTTTCATTACTGTGTCCTGTAGTAATATGGGAGTCAGTGAAAGGAACCAGTGATCAACACTACTGGGAGTATTGATTTCCCAGGATACTTTTGAACGGAGCATTGTTTTGCTTTTACGCATTATATAATCTATTTTGCCAGTATTGTCTGAACAAGTCTTTTTAGAAAAAATATTTTAAGGTTTTTGTTATAACTTAACTTATTACATCTTAGTGAAAGGTATAGATGGTTATGTCCTGTGCCAGTTTAGCTCAGTTATATAATATTTAAAGAGATTATAGAGCCGATCAACGCCGACCACTCCGTCTAAAAATTGCTAGTTGTCTGGCTGTTATGCTGATCCAATGGTATGCAGGCCAGGAGTTCTGACGTCACTGTGGGGTTCTAGTCTCAATGCTTGTCACAAAAAGTATTAAAGCCAGAGAAACAGGTATAGTATTCCTAGTGGGAGAATACCAATGGCAGCCCATGCAGATGTTTTCCAATACCCTTACATTTCAAAGACATGGCGGAGTTCAAGTGATCTGCACAGAGCCCTGACCTCTATATGGAACTCCATACTAATGCTCATGGTTTTATTATAGTATTTTCAACAAGCTCCATAAAGACATGGTTTGATAAGGTTGGTGTGGAGGAGCTTCAGTGGTCCTCAAAGAGCCCTGACCTCCTTATGAAACTCCATACTAATGCTCATGGTTTTGGAATAAGATTTTCAACAAGCTCCATGAAGACATGGTTTGATAAAGTTGGCGTGAGGGAGTTTGCTGAGGTTAGTGGTTTGAGGAGTTGGTCCATTTAGTGATGTGTGTTTCAAGGCTTCCTACCTACTGATGCTGTGTGAAAACAACAAAGAAGTTTGTATATTCAGCAAAACACAGCAAGCTGTCTGTTGCCGTGTGGTCGGACAGCTCCACAAGGACCATCTCTGCGTCTGGCTGTATCTAGCTGCTTGTCTGGCTTTTTTTTATGTCTCTGCAGCCCTGCTAGACAAGCCTTTGCTTGTCTGTTTCAGTCACAAATCAGGTCCCCAGCCAGTGGCATAGTTTTCCAGTTAGACCTCCAGTCTGTATAGATGCCCCTCTGTGGAAAGATACACACTCATGCCTAAACTCTCTACCTGTTCTAGACTGCCAAGCAAAAACTGGCTGTACCACATCTACATAAAAAGTGACAGGATTGGGCATCCCATATGCCTCTTCAGCTTTTTGCTATATCTTTGCTTCATTTATATTGTTTATTCAGCTTGGGAAAGAGCAGAGATGCCTGAAATTACACTATTATAATTGAATTTTCAGCAGTGCACTTGATTGCTTGGCATACACAGCACTTAGAATTCCTTAAACCCTGCTTGCTTTACCATTTGGAATATATACGGTATGTGTGTGTATATATATACATAAAATTGCTTCCATTGCTATAACTTTAACCATTGTTTTCCTGTTGCTGAACCAAAACTTTTTACAATGTAATTTTGTTTTTTAGAATCAAAATCTGACTATAGCTTCATTCTCCGTTGCCGAAAATGGTGAGTGTCTATTATGTATTCAGTAATTGTTTTCATCTTTGAGATAGATGACTTTTGACATTATATGAAATTCGCAGTTTTACATATTTTACAGTAGTGTAGATCAGGCCTTCTTAACCACTTCAAGACCAGGTGTTTAGACCCCCTTCCTGGCCGGGCCATTTTTCAGTATTCAGCGCTGCGGTACTTTGACTGACGTTTATTCCGTCATGCAACGCTGTACTGAAATGAATTTTACACCATTTTTTGGGGACAGATAGGGCTTTATTTTGGTGGTATTTAATCACCACTGGGGGTTTTATTTTTTATTATAATTAGGACAAATTACTGAAAATTTTGAAAAAAAACACGTTTTTAATTTTTCAGATCTCAGGGAACCCTTGAAAGACATTTTTGATCTACAGCTCATGGAACATTACTGTGATCCATGACTTGTAGATATAATAATAAAAAACATTATGGGGGTTACTCACAAAGCTAGCCGAAGGATCAGCCATAGCTTCGGCTGATCCTTCGGCTAGCTTCGGCCGCCTGAGCCCTTCATTTCAGTAGAACCGAAGGGCTGCTATATGGGCTATTCACTATAGCCTGTACAGCTCCCGAAGCTGGCCGAGCAGGTCAGTCCAGCCAAAGGCATATGCTTCGGCTGAGCCAAGTGAAACCCGAAGCCGAAGCATTGGCTGGCCGAAAGCTTCGCAACTAACAGCTGGGTGGAGCCAGCCATGATCTCACAGCTGGCTCCGGCTAGTTGCACTGACAGTTCAGCATCCCCTGGTTACCCTCGGTGACCGCCAGCCTTGCCTGCACACTGAGCATGAGAAGCAGCCACAGGGATGCCAGCTGCAGCGGGGCTCTGCTCATACTGCAGCCAGCAGCAGGCATCCATAGCGCAGCCTGCTAGTCCAGGGAACGTGGTACCTTGCCTATCCCCAGGGCATGGAACCGCATGCAGGCCCATCCATGGCCTCAATCCATCAGTGTCCTCTCTCCATTCATCAGCATCCTAGTGGCACCAACATCATCCAGGTGTGGAAACTCGGAGCTCCGCCCTCCTTCCACCGGGACTGCCATTGTGCTTCTACATGCTGACACAAAGTGTGGACGGAGCCGCTGCGGGCAGTCCCCACCCCCTCCTCCTCCACCCCCCCTCAGAGAATGCGGCTCTGCTGGCTACCACACTCCCTCTGCAGCCGGACCGAAAGATGGCAGCTACCCCGGGCCTACTGTGTGATCTCTGCATGTGGGGTGTACGGGGACACTGCATCAGTTCAGTCTCCTCTGGTTACCTGGTAACCAGGGGACGCTGAACTGTCATTACAATCACTGGCCGTGATATCAAGGCCGGCTCCGCTGAGCTCTCATGAAAGTTCAGAGTCCCCTGGTTAGCTGGTAACCAGGGGACACTGAACTGTCATTACAATGAGAGCTCAGCGGAGCCGACAGTGATATCACCGCCGGCTCCGCCGAGCTCTCATTGTAATGACAGCAGGTCCCGGCAAATAGGAAACAGTTGGGCGGGGCTAGCTGTCACTGATAGTTCCGCCCAATCTTTTTTTTCTACTTTTTTTCTGTCTTTCTATTCTGCTCGGTACCAAGGAGGTGCCGAGCAGAATAGCCAAGCCGAATGCCGCTCGGTGGCATTCGGCTATTTACTCACTGCTGTTCGGCCCCTATGACAATAGTCCGAACAGCAGCGAGTAGGCTGCCAGAGGTTCGGCTGCGCCTTCTGCACTTCGGGTCGTCCGAACATGCTGAGCATGTTCAGTCGACCCGAAGCCAGCAGAAGCAAGTCGATGTACGGCTGATTTCAGCCGATGTACGGCTGAAATCAGCTGTACAAGCCTTAAGTGAATAGCCAAACAGCGTTCGGCTCACTTTCATTCGGATGGCTATTCACACGGCTGCCTTCGGCAGCTTTGTGAATAACCCTGTAAGTCTTACCCTTTGCCGTTGTGCTCAGTGCAAAACTTTAACTTTCCATAGGTGTTTAGAAACAAATTCCACACTGCATTAGTGATTATAGGCAACCTCACTCTGCATTGGTGTTCAGTGCTTGAACATGCTATTTACCCATTTTTTTAGGACATGTTGTATGTATAGTCACCAAAAGCAACCATCAAAGTTAAAGGTAGTTTAGCATGGACTCTTTTAATATTACCATGTCATGTTTTGTTTGCCTTTTTTTAGGCTTGTCTATCTAGGTTTAAGTATTTTCCTTGAGTAGTAGACAGGAGTCCTTTAATCCCACACTGCTGGCTGTGTGAAGATAGCCCCTCTCATCCCATCCACTATCTTTGGTGACATCAGGAGTCAGAACACTAAGAGTACTGTGAGGCTGATATTAATCCATTTGGCGGTATTAAGCAAGACTATAGGGACTGATGTATAAACCACATGACATTACCATCACTAGATGGCACCAAGGAGCATAATTCCTATGTTCCTCTGTGCAATCTAGTGCCAGTAATGCCATGCAAACCGCATTTGCCCTGCTTTAGGCTGGGTAGAAAGTTTATAGATCAGCCCTTATGTATTAGGGCATTAAAGCCACCATTGAATGAATATAAATCTGCTGCAGCAATGGATCGCAGATGAAATCCTGAGGGCTTCCTGCGAAACCCTAGTCTAGATCATTTGCAAACATACCAAAAAAAAAATGAATGAATATATTGCCAGAGAACCAAGAAACTAGACAGAAACTTAAAAAATAAAAGGACTTTATTGAAAATAAGAATAAACAAAATGGAAAAAAACAATGGGGAAGGTCCGGGACATTGTTAGTCAGCCAGAGGTTAGATGCCAAAGCAGGTAGTAAGCCAAACCAGATCAGGGAACACTGGATCAGGATGAACGGAAACAATAGCTGGAGTCAGGAACCAGGAGATCTGTCAGCCAGAAAGGAAGAACAACATCAGAGCACTTGGTAGATCTGAACACATGCAAGGGCAGAGACAAAATGGACAAGCTGCTGGTTAAATAGTGAACTGGTGTTGCATCATCACTTTGAGACAAGAAGTTGTCAGAAGTTTGTCAGTAGTTGCAGAATGATGTTTACGGGTTTGGTCATACGAGGGCACCAAAGAGGAACAAACAGTGTCAGACACACTGCAACAGAAGACAGCCTGCAGCTCAACAGGACAAGGAAGGGTAAAAAACCCTAACATACATTACATTAATTACAAAAATATATTTTGAGTGTATCATGATAAAACAGCATGTGCTAATGTCACTTGTCTTGGATCAAATAATCTGAACTAATTTCTTCTTGTAAGTACAAGATTTTAATTTCAGTCTTTTTTCTTCAAATTAATTTTTAATTTCTAGTTTTTCGGAAGTTTGACGTAAAACTGGATGCCCCGTCTTTCTTCATCGAATCAATCAGGGAGAATTTTACTGGTACAGTCATTGCAAAGTAAGTTATAACTGCCCAACTGTTACACCGTAATCAATGAGCACCTAACTTCACTTAAACTCTTCAGCTTTAATCTTGGTTATAAAATATCACAGTCCAAACACTTTTAAATCATAAACAGGATTATCGGAAATAGTTTAAAAAAATTATTTTTATTATATTTGGTATACAATTCTGTGCAACAACTGGACCCTTCACTTTAAAAGCTATAAAAATTAAACAACACTCAATGGGCAGAAAAAGAGAAACCCTGCTCACAATAAACTGCTATCATCGAACTGTTGCCATACTGCTTGGTTAGCAAGTCTGTTACATCTATTGCAAAAAAACTCAACTGCCATCTCTCTTCACCTGAAACCAAAATCTTGGTCGAAGGCTTGTAAACAAACTATTTCCACATCAGTAGAAGCCCTCAAGAGTAATGTTTATCATCAGGGAGTGGTTTATGAAAATATACGCCTTGCTAAGTATGTTTAAATTTTTTTGCAATGCCAATTAAGTCTTTAAAAACAAAGGTGAATGGGTTAGATTTTCTGAGCACCAGCCTGCAGTAATCTTTTGACACAGAAAGGCAATGATTATGAGTGCTTAAAGTGTAGCTGTACTTCAAAATGAAAGTGTAAGTGCCTTCCCCCATCCCCCCTCGTAAAAAAACAAAATATCATATACCTCAGATGCAGCACAAACCAGCTTCCCATTACAGAGATCAATAGACATAGACAGCTGCCCCATTGATCTCCCTAATATAGAGCCACACCTAGTCACTACAAGTGTGGTGTTGTTTTACAGGAGGAACTCCATTGTGGTTGCTGTTTTCAGAAACCACAATGGGATTATGTTATTTCACCAATTTAGACGCAAATGGTGCTTAGAGAGCTTCCTACTCATATGACAGATGTTTTCTTTGTGTCCCTGTTTTTTCCCTTATACACCTTGTCTGTGAAGGTTTTCATTCATCCAGGTCATGGTATACCTGTAAAAAATAAGTCAAGGCAACTGGACTTGATGTATTTTTCTTGAAGCTGTTTCACTGAACATCCGACCAGCTTTCTCAATTCAGAATGACTTGTGCAAAAAATTATTATTTATTCCCAGATAATTTTTTGTACAAGTCATTCTGAATTGAGAAAGCTGGTCGGATGTCCAGTGAAACGTCTTCAAGCAAAATACAGCAAGTCCAGTTGCCTTGACTTACTTTTTACAGATATACTTATACACCTTCTTTTTACCCTAATATTGCAATAATCATGTGTCATTGATCTGATCTTCATTATAGTATATTGCACATGTAGGAGTGCAGAAATCAAATAGAATTATTATTCATTAATGATTTTACCCAGATTTATCAGTTAAACACGGAAATTCTCAAAACATGACCTGTGCTGGGTACTGATTTAGTACAATTAGAGGAACTCTTAGGAAGATCCAAAAGTTTATTTTATAAAAGTAGCGTGCCAATTTGCATTATTCGTTCTAAGAAAAATGGGTGCCTCCATCTTTCCACCTTGGTGAACCCACTGGGTAAATCATATGGTGGCTCTTTTATATATTTGTCCTTCAGAGTACAACCTTATTACAAGTTTATAATTGTAACAAAAACCATGAAACTTACTTCCTCATTGTATGCTCACAGAAGACCCCCAGATGCACCAGAGATTCTGGCTCTTTGTTGCGTTGGGCAACTTTACATTTTTTTTACTAGGCACCTGTAGTGCAGGTACAACTACAAGCAGGGCCGTCCCTTTAATCAGAGAGCCTGAGGATGTTGACTGAGGTGGCATCACTGTGGGGCACATGGTGGGGTGGCAGGCATGGCCGCGCTGCTGCGCAATGATTGTAGCGTGCCTACCATCTACTTTCTGGCGAGAGCATCCCAGGTTGCTAGGAACCAGGTAGGGAGATGTGTAAGGTCCATACACATCTCCCCACCCAGCTCTTAGCAACCTGGGATACTCTTGCCGGCATCCTGATGAGCTGCTGGCAACCAGCGACATCACTGGTTGACAGGAGTCGGGGCAGGACGGAAAGCTGATTGTTCCGGGTTGCTAAGAGCTGGGCAAGAAGATGCAGAGCCCTTTCACATCTCCCTGTCCGGCTCTTAGCATCTAGGAGCTCTTTGCACCTGAGTGTTTTGCCATAAGCAGAACGCCCGTCACTGGAAAAAGTACATGAGCTACTTTTTGGCAGATTACAGTGCTTTTTGGTCCTAGAGACTTCAATAGGAAAAGTTGTGTGACAGGGGCCATAGAAATTAGTGAGATTCCTTGTTGTTATGTTGCACTCAAGAGAAGCAAATTAGATTCCTTGCCTTGATGATCTTATTGCGCTTATCCTTGAGATAAAAAATGCCTAGATGTGAACATGGACTTAGTGGCATCACACTCACCCCGCCTCACTAATTGTGTGCACCGCCAGCACCCCCAGCCCCCTCCCCCATAAATACCAGTGACATCCCTGACTACAGGCTTTGTAGAGATGAATGGGGTCTTCTATGAAGCTCTGTGAGAAACCTGCCAAATATGGCTGCACTCGATATTTTAAAATTCATATTAAGGTAACTTGAACAGACTTTCTGAATTTGTTGTACTTGCAAAGTTCTCTTGATAACCTTAACAGTTTACCAAGTTTGCCTATTGCCTGTAGTTAAGTTTCACAATATTTTTACAATCTTTAATGCTCATGTATTTAACACTTTGGTGATATGGACATTTTAGCTCATAAGCTTTTGATATCCATGTAATGAAAGTTAGAGCACTTTCCATAATAAAGATCTGTTTTGATCACTCTGCTTTGTTTTATAGATATCCCTATGGCAAACCTGTAAGAGGCAATCTAACAATATCAATGAAGTCACTCTATGCTGTAGTATATCCCGAAAGAAACAAAATATATGTGGTAAACTTACATTTTCATTTTGTATTCACAAAGTATCATTAAGAATTGTAAAGTTATTGCTTAGAACATCAGGAACAAATGTAATGCCTTCATGTACACATTTAATGTAAAATATTTTAACACACATTGAAGGTTTGCCTGTCAGGGGGTCATTTACTAAGCTGCCGAAGGCGAATAACCGAGCCGAAGTGAACTGAGCCGAACAACGTTCGGCTATTCACTTCAGCATGGCTGATTTTAGCTGTACATCGGCTAAAATCAGCTATACATCGGCTGCCTTCAGCTGCCTTTGGTCAGCCGAACATGCTCTGCATGTTCAGCTGAGCCAAAGTGCAGAAGCAGTTCGACTCAGCCGCTCCAACATCTGGATTGACTGAGCCGAAGCTCGGGCAGTTCACTCACTGCCGTTAAGAAAATAATAAAAACATTTAAAGGAAAGAAAAAAAAAACCCAGTGTGGGGTCCCTCTCCCAAACCATACCAGACCCTTCAGGTCTGGAAGGAGTGTTAGGAGGGACTCAAAGTAAAAAAAAAAAAAGTGCGTGGGGTTTCCCCCCAAAGTCATACCAGGCCCTTAAGGTCTAGTAGGGATTTTAAGGAGGAACCCCACCTCCAAAAATGGGGGAAAATATGTGGGGGTCCCCCCTAACATTCCCAACAAGACCCTAGGTCCGAGCACAGGCCTGGCAGGGCCGGAAGGGGGGGGCGAGCGAGTGACCCCCCCCCTCCCTGCCATACCAAGCCACATGCCCTCGGCCCTAGGAGGGTGCTTTTACAGGTTCCCCACAAACCCCGTTCGGCTGAAGCGAGCCGAAGGATCAGCCGAAGCTACGGCTAAATCCTTCGGCAAGTAAGTGACTAACCCTTTAAATGTATTGTCAAGTATATTTTGGGAAGGGATTTTACTTCTATAAGTGTAAAACATTGACAGCTTTGCTTTGATGTGCCACTTTCCCCAAACTATGTACATTAAAGTGTTTTTTAAAATTGATTGAAATGTGTCTTCCTGATTTTTAATGGTGTGCAATGTTGGTTTAAGATATCAGGGTCCGTAAACTTCAGCTTTACACATGAAGAAATCCTTCAATTATCATACTATGGAGGATTTAACATAACAGCCACAGTTTATGAAGAATTTACAGGTAGTTATTATATTTATTATACTCCAATTTGATAAAATACTAAAGTATGTGTTTTTTCCAAGATTTTTGTGCAGGTGGCCCTCTGTTTACAACGGTACAATTTGCACTGATTCAAAATAGCACCTTTTTCTGGGAGTGTAGAAAATTGAAACCAAATAGATAATGTATGTCAATGGGAAGTGAGGGAGTTAGGCTTCAGGCTTCTCTCAAAATAAGCAATGGTTCTAAATAGAATCTCCTGTAAATTGAAACCCAGTAAATAATGTAAGCCAGTGGAAAGTGAGGAAGTTAGGTTCCAAGCCTCTCTCATTAACATGAATTGACATAAGTAACATAATACAAGTACATTTTATTTAAAGATCCTTGCGTGAGCTCATGCAGCAGCTTTAAATATAATGTACTATTTTATTAACAAAAACGATTTTTCCCCGAAAAAGGGGATCCCACCACTGTTTCAGAATTTTTTGACCATACACTTTATATTAGTCGTGGAAAATTATTTATTAAATATATATTTAAAATTGCACATATATCAAAAAATCCATATAAAAAGCTAATATCAAGCCGCAATTCATTTATATCCATGGTAAAACCACTCCGATCCTCCTACTTTGTTCTATGGGCGAACATACACAGTAGTGTGAGTGGAATCCATCCATTTTTTCTACACGTATGATATATACTTTTTCATGTTGACTGTTTCTTTTTGCATTTTTCCATACACGTATATGCCGAGATCTGACATCTCCTTTCCAATCTTTGGGAATCCTATCCTTATATCTTCGTAAAGTGGAGTTTTTCAGGGTGTGCCCTCTAACCTATGTTTATCCACACGCATTTTTTCTTATTTATCAGCCGTATGCAGCCAATTATATGTTTGTTGATGTTTTTTGATATGGATTTTTTGATATATGTGCAATTTTAAATATATATTTAATAAATAATTTTCTACGACTAATATAAAGTGTATGGTCAAAAAAATGTCTTTTTTTGTGAAAAAAATAAAATAAGACACTGTCTTATTTTCGGGGAAACACGGTAGTACTATTTTATTACTTATGTCACTTTTGAGTTCTGCAACATAACTTCCTTGCTTCCTATTGACTTACATGATATACTGGTTTCAATTTACACCAGTTTCAATTTACAACCATTCCCTCAGGAACCTAACCCCAGCGTAAATTGAGGGCTACCTATAATTGTATTGTCATTTTAATGTAATTTTAAGAGCAACTATTGTAAGTACCTGAATCTGATTTCATATCAGCCTTTTGCAGTCTCTTAAACTGCAGCGTTTTGACTAGTAGGGGGAGTAGCAGCATAAGGAGCCAATAAGTTGTGCTGCAGTGCTCATATGCCAACAAGGGTCATGCAGACAGAAGGAGAGAGCAGAGTGGCAGAGAGATGAGCAAATCAGTCTGCTGCTTCTCCTTTATTGTTCCCTTTCTGTCAACCTCTGGCTACCCTGACAAATGCAGTTTTAGTCAGGGATTTCCCTATGATTTCCCTACATACAACATAGTTAAAACCTAAAAAGGCAATCATTTTGTTATGTATACCGTAAATGATTGACTTTAACAGAATTTATGTTCACATGCAAACAAAAAAGCCCAATTATTTTACAGATACAGATAACAGATACTTGCTTCAATGTAATGGTCTAATATGCCGTGCATTTGACTGCTTTTATACTGTTATGTTTCCCAAATATTTAAAAGTATTTCTCATGTTTCTTAGAGCACATTTTGTAATTCCTTTCCTCAGTACAGATGGAGTTTGGAAAGCCCTTATGCTTTCCTGGGACATCCATAAATGTATCAGTGCTGCTGCAGCAATGTAATGGCATTACAATAGAGATTCTGCACTGACACTCTTACTTTGATCAGCATCCAGCACTTGAATTTTCATTGTCATGGGCCAATGGGATGTATGGACTGGGTTCAGAGAGTGACATGAAGTGATTGGGCAGGGCATAGTTGCCTGAACTGCAAACAATATTTAATTTTTTCTTAAAGTCACACTATCTTTTAGGATTTATGTAGTGCCAACAGTTTGTGCAGCGCTTTTCAACATAAAACATATAAGACAGTGCATTTACAATACCAATTCAAGACAAGATGCTAAGGAGAGCCCTACCCCAGAGAGCTTACAATCTAAAAGGGCGGGGCAAGTGATACAAAAGGTTGTAGCTGTGTGGGGATGACTTGTTTGAGAAAGTCAAAGTACAATTGTTAGGTAGAGGTGGCATAGGCTTTCCTAAAGAGATAGGTTTTCAGGGATTGTCTAAAGGCAGAGTAGGAGCTAGCCAAACAGTTTGGGGTAGGGAGTTCAAAAGGATGGGAGGGACTCTGGAGAAGTCCTGAAAGTGAACATGGAAGGCGCTCACAAGAAAGCGAGAAAGGGAGGAGCGTAGAGGACCGTTTGGGTGAAATTTTGAGACAAGGTTGTACTTATAGCTAGGAGCAGAATTGTGGATTGCTTTGTAAGTCATTGTTAACATTTTGAATGTTATTCTTTACAATACAAATGAGACAAATGTTTTTTTATTTATTATGACTCTTAAATCATTTCAAATGACCTTTTCATAGGTGTTGCTGTCGAGTCAACCATTTATGTAACAAGAGCAAATTCAGCATACAACCTAATCCGTATTAGCCAGAAACCAGCATTTGAACCAGGCCAGAACTTTACAGCTCAGGTAATGAATGGTAACATATTCTAAGTAGAAAGATAGAAAGACAGGTCACCAGCACTCGAGATAATTTAAATAGATTAGTCCTTTTTAATGGACAATTGTGTCACAATAATCAACAAAGCCTTTGTTGATTATTGTGACACAATTGTCCATTGAAAAGGACTAATCTATTGAAATTATCTTGAGTGCTGGTGACCTGTCTTTCTACTTTGTATTTTGCAAGGTGCCATCCGTTGCAGTTACTACAAGCACCATTGTTTTTACTGGCCGGGACTGCTGTAAGGTGTGCGGAGAGCACCGACACCAACTGGTAACATATTCTGACACCTGGGGCTATTTCATGTCATTGCTAATATGTCATTGTTTATGTAAAGATGCTTAAATGACTGCTACTCAAAGAAGTTGACCCATCTTTGATACAAATTATTTTGCAATGCATTGTTTTAGATGGGCTCAGTTCACACCATCATGTTGCAGTGGCATGCGCTGAAAAGAAGTTCTTTTACTTAGCATAGCACAATGCGACGTGGTACAACCACATTGCACCATGCTGTGCCCATAGAACCTAAGGTGTTTTTTCACGTTTGCAGTTAAATTTGAGAAAACCCCTCTATATGTTTGTTATGTGTTCCTATTCACACGGCATACTGTAAATTAACTTTTTAGATGTTTTAGATGTTTTGTTAAAGCAGGCAAAATGACTGATTCCAGGTTTTTCTCAGCACCTTCACAATGATCTGTCTGAATGGAAAGACTTAGGACTGAAATTTGAGGAGGCCGGAAAGCTTCATGAACATAAAATGGACACGACACCTCAGACCCCTCACCCCTTACAGCCCCTCCTAACATTTCAAAGTAATAGAAGCAAGAAGAACTTTTAACCCTTAAAACTCTAACCCAAGTTAAAGTAATTTAAACTGCATGAAACATTTTTTTTAGCCTATGCTATGTGAATGGGAACATGTAACAAATATAAAATAGGTGTTATCCCAATTTGGCATTGAAATTGGAAATACCAAAAAAAAAGTGTAGATGCAGTACTTTTGTTTAGCACAGTACTCAATATAGCCCGTACAGCAGCCGAAGGCGGCCAAGTGGCTCAGCTGAGCCGAAAGCATATGCTTCGGCTCAACTGAGCCGAAGTAACACCCGAAGCTGGCCGAAGGCTGGCCACAAGCCCTGCAAATGACGGCTGGCCCCGCCCAGTTGTAATGACAGATCAGCGCCACCAAATGACCTGGGGACGCTGATCTGTCATTAAACAATAACAACTAGGCGGAGCTGGCTGTGACGTCACAGCCGGCTCCGCCCAGTTGTTCATTGGCCGGCACTTGCAAGAAGACTCTAGCAGGTGCCGGCCAATATGAAACAGTTGGGCGGAGCTAGCTGTCACTGCTAGCTACACCCAATTGTTTAAAAAAAATCTTTATTTATTTTTTAATTTTACTATTTATTTACATTTTTAAAATATTTTTTCAACCTCTTTTTGTTTGTTTAACTCTTTTCATTAATTTTCTATTCTGCCTGGAACCAGGGAGTTACCCGAGTGGCATTCGGCTATTCACTCACTGCCAATCAGCTCTATGTGAATTGGGGCAAACGGCAGCTGAGTGGAAGTCCTTCTGCACTTCGGCACAGCCGATGGCAGCCGTACAGAGCCGAAATCAGCCGTACAAGCCAGAAGTGAATAGCTGTTCGGATCACTTCACTTCGGCTCGGTTATTCACTCGGCTGCCTTCAGCAGCTTTGTGAATAACCCCCTAAATGTTTAAGACACCGCCCTGTTCCATGTGATTGGTAAATTATGAAAAATTTCAAGTGATCCTAAGCTTTTAACAACCCGCAGGTTTAAGGCTGACAACCGTAATCTTATATTTTCACTGTTGATCCGCATTGAGGGAGAATGCGACTTGTAGTTTCCCAGTTGTAAATTTTTTGATTATTCACATTTTTGCTCTCAGCCTTAAACCTGCGGGTTGTTGAAAGTTTAGGATCACTTGAAATTTACATCGCTGATCGCATGAAACCGGCCGGTGCCTGAAACATTTAAGGCCTGGTTCACACCTGTACGTTTTGTAGCGCGTTCAACGCTCTACAAAACGCTCAAACATGAAAATCCCATTGTTTCTATGGGTGGGGTTCACACTTTGCCGTATTTCAGCCCGTCTGAACGCGCTACAAAACGGCCTACGCCTGAAAAGGTACATTAGATTCTTTGCAGCGTTTTTGTCGCACGTTTCCATTGGGATACAGCCAAGTAACCCTCGGAAACGGGCGTTTTTTAACAGCGAATCGCGGTAAAAATGCGCGTCACGAAACGTGCGACAAACGCGAATATTCGATACGCCTAGGTGTGAACAGAGCCTTAAGGTACACGCAATTGAAAGGGCTTCGCCTCTATGATTAAGCCCAGGTGGTGAAACACGTGAGAGGCGTTGGCGTGGTGTGGGAGATGTTCATGGTACACGTTGTTTACTCTCTTGGATTTACTGTCCAGTTTGTACGATTTCAATAAGGTCTAATAAGGGTTTCATTTTAAATAGAGAGTAAGGACCAGAGCTTATGCAATATGACGAACTGTGGATTATAGAAAAAGTAGGGCTTTAATTGCACCATATGACAAGTTCAATGAAACACAAGATAATTTGAATAAAAAATATTATTTTATTGATTACAAATGCATAAAAACGGCCACATTAAAATTCATATAGATGTGACATAATTGAAAGATAGCCCCACAGACCACTCATTCCATAATTAAGGCATATCATGTAACCAAAACATGATCAATATATTCAGGACCTGCAGACCAGATTAGAATATTAACCATTTCATCGCTGATAATGATAGTACTATCATTATCAGCGATGAAATGGTTCATATTCTATGCATTTGTAATCAATAACATATACATTTTTATTCAAATTATCTTGTGGTTCATTGGACTTGTCATATGGTGCCATTAAAGCCCTACTTTTTCTATAATCCTTTTTTGACTGACTGACAGGTGTGGCACCAGTTACTCAGGATCTGTTCACAATCCTCTTCTCTTTACAAGTTCTCTTTACATGTGGTACCAGAGTTCTAGTTATCAATTGGTGGTTTTAATATATGTTTTTTATTTATGGATTAGTATTTCTGTATTAGTGTGATGGATTTTTGTGCAATGGATAATAGGTTACACATACGGTAAATGCATTTGATGATATAACATGAGTTTGGATGCCCTTTGTCCTGGATATCTGCATGTTTGGAGGGTTAAACTTTTTTGAATTTGATTCATATGTAGAAGGCCTCCCTCTCATTATTATTGACTGAGCTTATTATTAGTACATGAAGCAGTACAATCACCGCCCCCTCTTGTCTCATAAGCCTTCTTATACAGTATGTAATTGAAGCAACACATTACCTTGAAAGATCAGTTTGGAGGCTTGGGAAGCATGAAGGGTGGTGATGAGATTGTTTTGACAGAAAAATGCATGCAAATGCCCTGGAACACACTGAAAGCCCATTTTAAACAAAAACAAAAAACAAACAAAAAACAAGGCCTTAGAATTAAAGGGTTTCTAAACCCTCCGTTATTTGGCATATATCTACTGCTAGCAAGCAAGCAGTAGATATATGCAAAAAGTAAAAAAAAAACAAAAACGTCTTCACCACGCGCTCCCGTCTGAAAATCCGAAACTGCTCGGTCGCCCGCAAAGCATCTTGGGGTGGGCGCATGCGCAGTTCGGATTTTCGGCCGGGAGACGAGGAGAGACGCAAGGTAAGTCTATGGGCGCGTGGACCCGCATGCAGACACCGTGGGACAGGAAGTGCCAGCAAGGACAGAGGAGTCAGCGCCGGATCGGAGAGCCGCCGCACCGCTGGAGGGACAGATGAAAACATCAGGAAAGAAGAGGAAGATCGGATTAGGAGGCATCATTTAAGGTAAGTGCTGACATTAACATTGAGGGGGAGGGAATTTGTTTTTTTTGTTTTTTTTTTTACTTTAATGTCACTTTAATGCTCCTTAATGCCTATTAGAGTTAATTACCTTTTTACGAAGGGGCTTAGATGACCATCAGTAGAAGAGAGGCCCACCTCCATCCTAACTATTTTTGCCTCCCATATTACTTCTTCTGTATCACTCCAATGTGGTTGTCTGGTGTTTATTGCTCTTTAGAGAGACATTGTACACACTGTATATAAAGTTTTACAAATCTTACATTCTTTTTCAGATTCAAGTACGAAGGATTGACAGTAAAACCTTAACCAAAGAGGAAAGAGGAAAAAATGTTTCTGTAAAGATAACTCAGGGCACAGGGGCTTTGGTAAGCAGGGAATTTGTAGGAACCACAGCAGTCGCTGTCGACTCTGATAATACCTTCTGGCGAAACTTTACCATTTCCGAGTCTGGTATTGTCAATGTGGAATTTCGTGTTCTGCAGTCATTTCAATGGATACAACTGGAGGTGAGTGCTAAAATACATATAAAATCTGTTTAAATAATAATCTACCCCAGACTAGCTAAAACTATGTCATCCATCACAAGAATGATACCAACATTGCTACAATGTGCTAAAGACCATTTATTGTTGATCCTAACCAGTTTTATTCGCCTCCACCTCTTATACATTAGAGAAATTAGTCCATTGTATTACTATATATTTAGTTATGACTGTATATACCTGAATGACCAGGGTGGGAAACATATCTTTAAACTGCAACTTCACTATCTTTTAATTGCTTGTAGTGTGATCATAGCCATCAACAGTCGTTTGTGACTATGTGACATAGTGACAAAGTCGGAGCAAAACGGGGAGACACGGACAGAGCATTGTCACTATGTAACAGGGATCTTTATGGCAGAATTACCATATGTATTGTCAATAAAAGCTAATTTGGATATTACATTAACATGTTTAAGCCTTTAAGAGGTTTTAGTGTTTGGGTCTACATAAAGTTTAGAGAAAACCTGCAACAGAAAGAGTATCATACTGTGCTATCCACAAATTCCTCTAAATGGTAAAAAAAAGTATTATCAAAATTATACCTTTTAACCCCTCCGTGACAGTAGACCTACACTGTACGTCCCACCATGGAGTGCCCAAATGACTGGCCACGTACACTGTACGTGACCAGTTATTTGCGGCTCTGTAATGATGGTAACCGCTGATTCTCAGCGGTTACCATTCAATAATGAATGCCTCAGTATTGAGGCATTCATTAATTAAATAAGTTAAGCTTTTGTAAAAAGCTTCTTTCTTTCATTAATGAAAGAATGAAGCCATCACATACAAATACCGAATTGCTATGATCGCTAAATAGCGATCCGGTATTTGATAGCTAAGATAGCAGAGAGGTAGCAGAGTGAGTCACCTCTGCTATTTGTCTTGACAGCTGAGATGTTTTCAAAGTGGTGAGATACATTTCAGGCACAATGTTAAAATGCATCTTTGTGTCTCTGTGCCTAAAATGTATAATTTCTGATCACCTTGGCACTATCAGAAACCTTTAGGCCTGGTTCACACCTGGGCGTTTTACAGAGCGTTCCTACACTCGGGAATACAGCGTACAGGTCTTACCTTGTCCGCGATCCCAGCTGTGTCTTCAGCGGCTGCCGACTTCTGGGTTCCGGCCGCGTCGCAGGGGGCGGAGCTGGCGGGAAGTTTAAAAGTGAAACAAAATTTTTTTTTTTTTAAATAGAAAAAAGAAAAAAAAAGAATTGAACAAAAAAACGCAAAAAAAAAACCGAGCGGAAAAACGAGCTGAAATACGAGCATAAAAAAACGCTCAGGTGTGAACCCAGCCCAAGTGAGGTCTGATTCTGAGATGCTGTCAGCAGGGCTCAAAATTTCAAGTCCTACGCTACTAGACCGGCCTGAAAAGTTACTCGCCACCCATTGCCCCACCTAACCCCTACCCTGCCCTGGCCTTTACTCCGCCAGGTCAGCGGTGTGACGCAGAGTATAAAGATCATTAACAATGCACAGTACAGAAGTCAGTGGTGCAATGCAGAATACAGAAGCCAGCTGTGTGACGCGCAGTGCAGAGGCCAGCAATGTGTCGTGCAGTGCAGAGGTCAGCAATGTGACGTGCAGTGCAGAGGTCAGCAATGTTATATAATTGGAAACCAGCTGCACTCCTTACTGGAAAAGTAGTAAACCTGCAAAGCAGGTGGGTGCTTGTAGCGACCGCGGATGGCACCGTGAGCAATATAGAAGTAGTAAAAATTGTCAACAGCACACCACAATATTTACAGCAAAAAGTCCTTTAACCTCCCTGGCGGTATGATTCTTTTCTGTTTCGTTTATTTTTCGGGTCGATTTTTTTCGCTATTTTTTTCCCCGTTTCTTTTTTTTAATCTCCCGCCGGTTCCGCCCCTGTGAGAGGCGTACGCTCGCAAGGGACGGAGCCCGGAAGACAGATGCCGGCGCCGGCCGGAGGACACTGCACGGCTCGAGGGACAAGGTAAATAAATACTATGCGATATTCCCGAGTGTAGCTCAAGGTATGGAGAATAAGGCTGATGACGGGGTACTTCTGAGACCCCAAAAGCGCTTGTACTGAATGGCAATTTGTCATTAGAGGTCAGCAATGTGACGCGCAGTGCAGAGGTCAGCAATGTGACGCGCAGTACAAATGTCAGCAATGTGACGCGCAGTACAGAGGTCAGGGTGTGACGCACAGTACAGAGGTCAGGGTGTGACCCACAGTACAGAGGTCAGTACACAGTACAGAGATCTGCGGTCAGTATGTAACACAGTGCAGAGGTCACAAAGAAAGTACAGGGACTTACAGTTGCTTTGACCTCTTCTTCTCCTGGTGATGGTGGGGAAGCAGCGAGGTTTCCTACACGTCCAGCCGGCTCCAGGTGCTCTCTCGCCCACGCAGTAGAAGCCGGCCAACTGCGGTTCGGCAGTCTTCCTCTCCCACCAATGGCAGCTGAGGTGGGCAGAGGAAACTGCTGTGGCCACCGAGGACCCCAATCGAAGAGGGCACAGACGATGGCAGTGGAGCTTCTTGTTCTCTTCTCCCCACCACCAGAGTCTTAAAGAGGCCCCCCTCCCAGTCCACATTTTTCGGATGTTATTAATCTGAGTTGCCCCACTCAGTATGACCGTTGCTTGCGGTCATATTGAGTGGGGCACTAAGATTAATAATGTGTTGGATTAGTCTGACCCAGGGGCGGACTGGGCCCGGGGGCAGGGTGGCAATTGCCCCCCAAGCCTCTCTGATACCTTTGCAAACGCCCTCCACCGCCGCCGTAAGCATTTAATCTCTCCCCTCTCGGCTGCTCTGCTGCTGCAACGGCCAAGAGGGGAGAGGTGAAGTGCTTGCGGTGGCGGGGGGTGTTTGCACAGGTATCAGAGAGGCCCGGGGTGCAATTGCCACACTGCCCCCGGGCCTAGTCTGCCCCTGGGTCAGACTAATCCAGCACGTTATTAATATGAGTGCCCCACTCAATATGGCCGCAAGCGAGGGGCATACTGAGTGGAGCAACTCAGATTAATAACGTCCAAAAGATGTGGAGTGGGAGGCGGGGCTCTTTAAGACTGCTCTGATCACACCGCTGAGTGATCCCTTTCTCTCCCCCCAACCGCTGCAGCTTCAGCTCCACGAAGTGGGCACTCAGAGAGGCGGCTCTGATCACACCTGTCAACGTTCCCTCTCTCTCCTCCTGGCCGCTGCAGCTTCAGAGCGGC